TAAGCCCTTATAATCTTAGATACCTTATATCTTGTACCGTATACCCATAATTCAATGCCTATTCTATGCCACCCGATTGCCGCTCGCTGGCCGGACGCGACGGGAGAGTGACACAGGAAACGGCGTGTTGTGTACCTGAAGGCTCGGTGCTTTTGTGTACTTTGTCGTGTTTGTTTACATCCCGGTGTCGACACTTTTGTATATATCCCGGTAGATGCCGTTGTCTGTGTTTATTGTCCGTTTGGGTGTCGTCGTTTTGATTAAGATCCGGGAGTCTTGGTATTTGTTTACATCCGGGAAGGTGTCGCCGCGTTTGTTTACATCCGGGTAGGTGTCGCTGTGGGTGGAGCTTCGCGGGGCGTTATGCTCTTGTTATTGACCGGCGGCCGAACACTCGGGCCGCCCTCGCTCGCCCCCAGTCGCTGCTCGGGCTGTAACTGGTTCATTTGGGCCGGGGGGGAGGGGGGAGGGATTAGCACCTGTTTATCTCCACGCTCCTCTTTTTCATTATCTATCTTCTTTCTCCTTTTCTCCTCTCTTCTCTTTTCTTCTCGCCTCTCTATCTGCCTTTCTCTCTCTCTCTCTCTCTCTCTCTCTCTCTCTCTCTCTCTCTCTCTCTCTCTCTCTCTCTCTCTCTCTCTCTCTCTCTCTCTCTCTCTCTCTCTCTCTATCCCTCTCTCTATCCCTCTCTCTCTCTCTATCCCACTCTCCCTCTCCCTCCCTCCCTCCCTCCCTCCCCCTCCCCCTCTCACATATGTGTAGACTTTTTTTCCTCCAATTAGAACATTGGGATAAGACCTTAATTGAGATTCCGGCCGCGACGAACGCATGGACGAGTGTTACCCCGACCGACATTTTTTTCATTGATAAGGTAAGACGAGAAGTTACCAGCTGATTTGATGAAGTTGATGAATTGTCAGCCTTGCGGGGGTCGGGTGGGGATAGGGGGGTGGGGGGTGGGACTTAATTAAGGGTAATTAGAGGTCGGTGATGATTTATGAGGAAAGGGCAAAGCAGCAGGTGTCCTATTTGCATGCCTTGGTTGAACACCTGCGCCCGCGGTTTTTGTCGGGTTTATTTTTTTCCTTTTTTTTTTCTTTTTTTATTCTGTCTCCTCTCGTTTTCCTTCCTTTTTCCCTTCCTTTTCCCTTCGCTTTCTCTTCCCTTCCCCTACCCTCTTCTCTCTCTCTCTCTCTCTCTCTCTCTCTCTCTCTCTCTCTCTCTCTCTCTCTCTCTCTCTCTCTCTCTCTGTCTCTCTCTCTCTCTGCTCACTCCCCTCCCTCCTTCACCCCCCCCCCCCCCCAGCATCCACTGTTTCCCTCTCGTTCGCCTTTTATCGTCATTTTCATTTTTTTTTAGTATCGTTACTAATGTCATATTGCTACCATCACCATCATTTGCTGTCGTTCAGTTTGTCGCTTTTATCTCATAGTTCCTTATCTCCGTGCCCCGTTCATGATACTTGGCGTCGCCGCCGCTCCCCCGTCGAGGCACTCCTGTGGCACTTGGCGGGGGCACTTCCGGCGGCCGTCGCGGCGCGTCCTTCTCGCGCGCCGTGACGAGAGCCACCTGACCCCCGAGACACCGGCGCCGCCCTTGGTCACGTGCCAGGAGGAGGGGCCGCTGCGATAACGATGACGATGATGATGATAATGACGATGACTATGGCAAAGACGATGACGAGAAAGATGACGATGATGATGATAAAGACGATGACTTTGGCGAGGAAGGTGACGATGATGATGATAAAGACGATGACTATGGCGAGGAAGGTGACGATGATGATGATAAAGACGATGACTATGGCGAGGACGATGACGATGATGACGATTACGATGGAAAAGACGTGGGAGGACGTGGCACTGGATTCTGACGTCGCTGACTCCAGTTAATTAGTCCTGTCTTGCTGACGACGTCGCCTTGACGCTGACGTAAGGGGCGGGGAAGGGGGGGTGAGGAGGGTCGTTGTCCCGGTGGACGTGGAGGCGACAGCGACGGCCGTCCAGGCTACAGTGCCGGGATGGTGACTCGCGGAAGGGTTGATGGTGAGCGGTCGGATGATGGGGGGGGGAGGAGGTATCTGGGACGGGGATGGGGAATGGGGGGAGGAGGATGGATAGGTGGATCGTAAGGGTTTAGTAAATGAGAATGGTGTTTGGGTGTTTGGGAGAGAGGGGAGGGGAGGGGAAGGGAGGTAGGGGTCTGAGTAGAAGGGGTGTCCCTGAAGAGGGGGGGTGCGGGGACGTCACAGTGACGTTGATGCTGATGACGTCGACGGCTGTCGAGGGGCGGGGGGTATGCGTCATGAACGTCTTCTTGGTCGAGTATGCAGAGAAGATTGTCGCTGCCGTGTGACGTCGAGAAACGTTCCTGTGGCGCTCGGGGAATCGCGTTTATTTTTAATGAACGACTTTACTTCCGGTCCCGTGTCAGGCCCAGAGCCATAAGTAATCGCGGAGTATTTTCTCCCGTCCTGCTTCTCGCTTCTTTCCTTTCTTTCAGCTCTTTCTCTTTCCTCTCACACCACCCTCCCCCCCCTCCCTCCTTTTTTTTAGGGAGAATCTAAGAATACAGAAGAAGAAGAAGAAGGAGAAGAAAGCGTGGGTTGGAGCGAGCGAGGCGCTATTAAGAGCGAGCGGAAGAGTCGCACAAAGGTGGAAAGGGGCTGCTTAAGCGAGTTGACCGCTCGCCCGCTCGCCCGCCCGACTTGGTCCCATGCCAGGAGCTCCAGCCGCGCTCCTGGCCCCCATGGCCCTCCTCCCTCCCCTCCCCATTGTCAGCCTGCCCCTCCTCCCCCATTGCCTTCTCTCTCCCCTCCGCATGACCCCCTCTCCATTGCCTTCCTCTCCCCTCCCCACAGTTCTCCTATCTCCCTGCCCATTGCCCTTTCTCCCCTCCCTCCCCTCCCTCCCCTCCCTCCCCTCCCCACAGTTCTCCTATCTCCCTGCCCATTGCCCTTTCTCCCCTCCCTCCCCTCCCTCCCCTCCCTCCCCTCCCTCCCCTCCCCATTGTTCTCCTCTCCCCTCCTCCCCATTTCCCCTGTGACGCCTGCTTGCGGCGTCATCCCTGTCCCTTCCTTCCTTATCCGCCTCCCCTGCCCCTGTCCTCCGGCCCTTCCTCGTTCCATTGCTCCCTCCCTTCCTCCTTCCCTCCCTCTCTCCCTCCCTTGCAACACCCTCCTACCTCCGATCACCTGTCTCTGCCCCTCCTCCTCGCTTCTCCCCTCTCCCCTCTGTTCTCTCCCTTCCCTCCCCCCCCCCTCCCACTACTTTTCTCCCCCCGCCCCCTCCTTCAGCTCCGTCCCACGTTTCCTGCATGTTCGTGGCCCTCTGCTTTCCCTCCCCCCCTTCCCCCCTCCCCCCGGCCCTGTGCCTCGCGCTTCTACTTTTAAACCTGGCCTCTGAGGGTATTGGCCTCCCACTCCCTCCCCTCCCTCTCCCCCTCCTCTTGCCGTTATGCATGGCTCTCTCTCTCGCGCGCGCACCGCATGAACGCGCATGATTACAAGCCATGCACGGGCGTCGGAAAGGAAGGTGACGAGGCCATGCATGCGCGAGTGTATTTTTGGCAAGCGTTGGGCTCCCGAAGGAATTCCCTGTAGTACTGATGGCTCGGACGCCCTCCTGATGACGGGGCCTGGCGTGGCATTTGCTCTGATGATGGAGCGCTAAAGAGGGAGTCGGCGAAGGAGGAAGAGGAGGGGAGGGGAGGGGAGGGGAGAGGAGAGGAAGGGATGGGAAGGAAGAGAGAGAGAGAGAGAGAGAGAGAGAGAGAGAGAGAGAGAGAGAGAGAGAGAGAGAGAGAGGCAGAGAGAGAGAGAGGCGGAAGGAGAAAGGAAGGAGTGATGAGAGAGATAGTGAGAGTGAGGAAAAGGAAGAAAGAAAGAGAGAAAGACAGTGATTAAAAGGGAGGGGACGAGAAAGGGAGGGAGAGGGAGAGAGGGAGAGAGGAGGGAGAGAGAGAGAGGAGGGGAGAGAGAGAGAGGGAGGAGGAGGAGGGAGGGGAGGGAGGGAGGGGAGGGAGGGGGGGGAAGAGAGAGAGAGAGAGAGAGAGAGAGAGAGAGAGAGAGAGAGAGAGAGAGAGAGAGAGAGAGAGAGAGAGAGAGAGTCGGCGACAGAGAGAGAGAAAGAGATAGAGAGCGTGTAATGCCGCACACGCCCATCCCTCCTCCCGTGGCGGTGCGAGGAGTGTTGCTAGGCACAGTGCCTCTCGCGGCCCGCCGAAGGGCCAATCGCCACGGCCTCCCTCGGGCTGCTCGTGAGTGCCTCCAGCCAGCAGCCGACAGAGTCCAGTGGTGGAGGATTTAATGGGCCTCTGCGGATGTGGCGTGAATGGGGCGCGTGCGGGCGTTGCGTGAATGGGGCGCGTGCGGGCGTTGCGTGGATGGGGCGCGTGCGGGCGTTGCGTGGATGGGGTGCGTGCGGGCGTTGCGTGGATGGAGTGCGTGCGGGCGTTGCGTGGATGGGGAAGCGAGTGAGTTCCGTGATGAAGGGAGAGCGTGGAGTGCGGGGAAGCGGTAACGGGGGTGGGGGGGTCAAAGGGGGAGGGAGGGGTTGCAGCGTTAATAGTCCGCTTGTGGATGTCTCGCCCGGGAGAGGGTTACAGGTGTGGCCGTAATGGGGGTCGTGTGGCCGAGGCATTATCGGGCCGCTTATGGGTTTATCGTTAATTGGTTCTTGCGAATGCGCCATTGCCGGGGTGCATGCCGGCGCTGCATTAATGCGCTGCTTGCAGGTGTAGCTTTAATAGACTGCGGGTAGTTTGGGCGTCTGTGGGGTGCATGCGGGCGTGGCACTCGTAAGGTGCGTGCCGCTGTTGCATGGATGGGATGCTTGTAGGTGTAGTGTTGATGTGGGTAGTCTGCGGGTAGCATTAATTGGGTTTCTACATATGTGTTATTAAGAAAATGCTGACAGGTGTAGCATAGACGATAAGGTTGTGGGTTTGTGACGTTTGTGGCTGCTTGAGGGCTGTCGTAAACGGAGCGGACTTGCCCTTCCCACGACGCGCGTCGGTGAGCGACCATTCGGGTTTGAGGGACGCAGGTGTGGCCGAGGTAATTAGCAGGCGTCCCTGGCCCCTGGGAGCTCGGGATGACCGGCCGGCGAGGGAACGCGAACAGGTGCGACGGGCGATAAGAGCGGCGGCCGAGATAAGGAGACAGGAGGGCGTCGTTGGAAGTGATTCGAGGAGACGGGGGGGGGGATGAGCCACGAGATTGATTGGTGTTGATTGGGCTTGGCATCGGGGCACGCTTCGTCAGGAGGGAGGGAAGGACATTCCGTGCTTCCGTCGTGGTTCTGGGGATAGGTTCCCGAGGGCCTTCCCGAGGGCAGGGCAGCGAGAGGCGCCGCACCTGGGCAGATCAGGTCAGGTCGCCGTCAGCCTCGCCTCCCGGACGCCCCGCGACGACACAGATGCGACCTGGCCTTGCCCTTTGGCCTCATGCCCTTCGTGCAGCTTTCCAGGCGGGCTGCGCTCCTCTCCGCCGAGTCACGTGATAGTCCCATCTCCTCCCCCCCTAGCTGCTCCTGTCTCTCGTCATGCCAGCATCTCTCCTCCTCCTCCTCCTCCTCCTCCTCCTCCTCCTCCTCCTCCTCCTCCTCCTCCTCCTCCCCCCCCTCTCCGCTCCTCTTTCCTATCCTCCTCCGATCACCTTTCCCTCCTTCACCTCCTCCTCTTTCCCCTACCCTTCCTCCTCCTCCTCCTCTGCCTCCTTCCCTTCCTTCTCCTCCTCCCCCTTCCCCCTCCTACTCCTCTTCCTCCTCCCCCTCCTCTCTCCCTCCTCCTCCTCCCCTTCCCCCTCCTACTCCTCTTCCTCCTCCCCCTCCTCCCGTCCCTGGTCCATCCCTGCCACGCCCTGCACTCTCTCTCTCTCTCTCTCTCTCTCTCTCCCTCCCTCTCTCTCTCCCTTTCTCTCTCCCTCTCCCTCCCTCTCCCTCTCTCTTCCTCCCCCTCTCCCTCTCTCTCCCTCTCCCTCTCTCTTCCTCCCCCCCTCTCTCTCCCTCCTCCCCTTACACCAACCCCCACCCCCACCCCCCTTCCCAGTGTCCGTGTCCGCAATCGGCGACGGACGCGATAGTAGTTCGCGACGGAAGTGGCTTATTCTACTTCCACGTTTCCGCTAGAGTCGTCGTGGGCGTGGGCGCGGGCGTGGGGGTGAGGCGGGTTTCGGAGTCGGAGGGGGTGGGGGGTGAGTGGGTGGTGGGGGAAGGGGGACTTTTTTTTATTACTTCTCTCTTTCTTTCTTTCGGTGGTGATATGTGTGTGTGTGTGTGTTTGTGTCTGTGTGTGTGGGCGTGGGTTGGTGTGCTTGTGTTTTTTTTTAACGCATGTATGTATTTATGTATGCACTCATCTGTTCATGTAAGTAAGACAAGAAAGACAGAATATCTCAGTGGGACTTTTTATACGACTTGCCATATTAATAATAATGATAACGATAATGATAATGATAATAATAATGATGAGAACGAGACTCCCCCTGTCCTCTTCCCCCCTGCCCATTTCCAACGTGTTTGCCTCCTCCTCCTCCTCCCCCCCCTCCTCCTCCTCCTCCTCCTCCTCCTCCTCCTCCTCCTTCCTCCATCTCCTTCCTCCATCTCCTCCCCCCCTCCTCCTCCTCCTCTTCCTCCTCCTTCCTCCATCTCCTCCTCATCCCCCTCCTCCACCTCCTCCACCTCCTCCTCCTCCTCCTCCTCCTCCTCCTCCTCATCCCCCCCCCTCCCCCTCCTTCTTCCTCCATCTCCTCCTTCCTCCATCTCCTCCTCCCCCCCTCCTCCACCTCCTCCTCCTCCTCCTCCTCCTCCTCCTCCTCCTTCCTCCATCTCCTCCTCCTCCCCCCCCTCCTCCTCCTCCTTCCTCCATCTCCTCATCCCCCCCTCCTCCACCTCCTCCTCCTCCTCCTCCGCCTCCTCCGCCTCCTCCCCCTCCCCCCCAACTGTTTTGTTAGGTGAGGAAGCCCCGACGCTCAGGGTTGACTACGCGATAGGGCAAGATAAGGAAGGCGAGATAACGGAGACGAGATAAGATGGCAGGGAGGAGACCGCGTTCCTGTCCTCGGTGCCATGTGTCGGGGTCTCATCGCGCTTCGCCGCTTCATTTCCTCGCGACTGGAGCTTCGGGACGTCGGCTCCGGGGGGAGGCGGAGGCGAGGGCGACGCCGGAGGGGCTTCGATTGGCGGAGGAGGCTGTGGGGGGAGGGGGGAAGGGGGGTGGGGGGTCTAGTTTCACGTTGTGTTTGGTTTCGTAGAAGGAGCGAAAGTAAATCAGTATATGTTTATAGAGATGGAAAGAAAGAGAGAGAGAGAGAGAGAAAGAGAGAGAGAGAGAAAGAGAGAGAGAGAGAGAGAAAGAAAGAAGAGAGAGAGAGAGAGAGAGAGAGAGAGAGAGAGAGAGAGAGAGAGAGAGAGAGAGAGAGAGAGAGAGAGAGAGAGAGAGAGAGAATGGCAGATATATGAGATTGCTATAAATGATTATACACAAATCTTCAAACGCCAAACTCTAAATTAAGTTTTCCCAGGAATCCCGTAAAATAAGTCAGGTTGGAAATGCACTGGACGGTTCTCTCTTTCCTCTTATATTCCTCTCTCCCTTTCCTTTTATATTCCTCTCTCCTTCTATATCCCTCACTTTCTCTCCCCTCTCTCCCTCTCTAACTCTCTATCCCCTCTCTCTCCCTCACTTTCTCTCCCTCCTCTCTCTTTCCCCCCCCTCTCTCTCTCTTTCTCTCCCTCCTCTTTAATTTTCTTTCTCTCTCTCCTCTCTAATTCTCTTTCTCTCCCTTCTATCTCCCCCTCTCCCCCCTCTTTCTTTCTCTTTCTCTCTCCTCCTCTAATTCTCTTTCTCTTCCTTCTATCTCCCCCTCTCCTCCCCTCCTTCCTCCCACACCCCGCATTCCCGCGATGGAATGTCTCTCGCAGACGCACATCCTTATCAAAGCTCGAATGCCTTTTTCGAAGTGTTTTGAAACGTGGCGAAGTGCAGTGGTAATTTTCCTTGCACGAGTTTTATAGTTTGGATTTTTCCAGCTAGTGCTCGAATTTCAGTGGATATCGGTCAGAAGGCGCTCGGAAATTTGACGGGGCTTCGTAAAGGAATTAATTAAATCTGGTCCAGGTATCGAGTGTGATTGCGTTTGTGTGCGCGGGGGGGGAGGGGGGGGGGGAAGCTTTTGTTTTTTATGATGATGATGATGGTGGTTATTATCATTATTATTATTATTGTTGTTGTTGTTGCTGCTGTTATTATTATTGTTACTGTTGTTATTGTTATGATTATTATTTTTGTTATTATTATTGTTATTGTTGATAATATTATTATTGTTGTTATCGTAGTTGTTTATATTATTACTATTGTTGTTGTTTTGGTTGTTCTTATTATTATTTTTATTTATTATTATTATTATGATTATTATTTATTATTATTATTATTATTATTATTATTATTATTATTTATTATTATTTATTACTAGTAGTAGTAGTAGTAGTATAGTTGCTGTCGTAGTGGACGTTGTTTGTGGCCTGTTTGCTTTCGAATAAAGGGGAATGATTTAGCCTCAGCAGTGCCTCTCCAGCGATTATTCCCCGTTGTTGGGGATTGTCTCCGGCCGGCTGCGAGGGCCGTTGCCTTCGCTAACGAGCACTACTTTACTCGCGGAGGGTTAGCACGACTTAAGTGTTATCCTTGTTATATTTATTATTCTTGTTATGACTATTATTATTGTTGCTGCTGTTATTATTATTATGGTTGTTACTATTATTATTACTATTATTGTTATTATTATTATTATTATCATTATTATTATTGTTATTATTATTAGTATTGTATTATTATTTTTCGCAGTTTGAGTCATCTCCTTTTACTGTTTGTCACTGATTACTTGTTTATTTGACCTCGCTTTGCGTTGCGCCAGTTTTTTTCCTATTTTGGTTTAGTTCCTCGTGAGCCTCCGCTTCTTTTAAAACGATTCGTTATCTGTTTTATTTATTTATTTAATTTGTATAATCATATGTATTTTTGATTTATTCATTATCTTTTTTTTTCATTCCCTTGTTTATTTCAGCTCTCTTTCTCCTTCTTCGTCACCTCTCGTGGTTCACTTTTTATTTTCGCGCGTCGACGTGCTGCTTGCAATGAGGGTTATTGATGACCGGGGTTTTGGGTCGGTTTGGGTTGCTAAGGAGAGGGATCCTATTAGCGAGGTGGCCGGTAATTAGGAATAGTTGGATTGGTTGTGACGGGACGGGGGGGAGGGAGGTGTGGTGGGGGGGTGTTGGGACTGTCGAATTTTCCTGTTGTGTGATGTGGTATACTAACTGGTTGTCTCCGTTTGTCTGTTTTTTGTTTTTTTCTTTCTCTGTTTTTTTTGTGTCTATTCTCCTTATCTACCTCTCTCTCTCTCTCTCTTCCACCCTCCCTCTTTTCCTGTCCTTCCCTCCTTCGCTCTCCCTCTCACCCCCCCCCAACCCCTTTCTACAATCCCTTCATTCGATTTCTTCCGCACATTCTCCTCCTCCTCCCCCCTTCTCCCTCCTCTCCCCCCTCCTCTTCCCTCCTCCACCTCTTCCTCCTCCTCTCCCACCTCTTCCCCTTTATCCTCCTCTTCCTCTTCTTCCTCCTCCTCCTCCTCCTCCTCTTCCTCCTCCTCCTCTTCCTCCCCTTCCTCCATCCCCTTATCTCTACCTCTCCCCCTCTCCCCCCTCCCCCCCTCCCCCCCCCCTCCACCTGCAAATTTAACAGGGTTCAGATAAACACAAAAGGAGTCTCTCTGCCGGCGGGCGAGGCTCTCTCTCTGGCGCTCAGATAAACCCGGCGCACTTTATAACGTCGGGGTTTATAAAGTCTGCTTAAATAACGTCCGTTTTATAGAAGTCTGATGCTACGAGGTTTTCAAGCTAAAGACCCCACTGCGTGTGCGGGGAAATTATTGTTTACATTGCACACAACGGTTGAATAACATGCGCGTTCTGTAAGTGCTTTTGTGTTGACAATTGACATC